AGTTGGGGGGGTTTTGGGGGGGGTTGGGGGCGGGAAAAGGCGAAATTTGGATTTAAAATTGAAAATGGAGCGGAAAAAAGGGTCTAAGGAGCTCTGGGGAGTTCGGAAAAGTCCCAAACGAGAAAACCCACCTTGCAGATGAGCATCTTGGCGATGGTGTCCTCCATCGCGCTCAGCCGCGGCTTCGCCTCCGCCATTTTCGAACTTCTTTCTTTCCAATTTCTTTTTTTCCCAAACCACAAAAGAGAGGTTTAAACCCTCGACAACAAACCACTGCCCCCACGCAGCAGCCCCCGCAGCAGCAGCAGCAGCAGCAGCCGCAGCCACAGCAGCAGCAGCAGCAGCAGCAGCAGCTGCAGCTGCAGCTGCAGCAGCAGCAGCAGCAGCGGGAGCGGTCGGAAGGGCTCTTCGCTTTAGAGGGTTTGTTTTGTTTTTAATTTAAATTAAATCAAATCCTTCTTCGAAATAAATCCAAAGTCCGGCCTAATCGCCAAACCGCGCAGCAGCAGCAGCAGCAGCAGCAGCAGCAGCAGCAGCAGCAGCAGCAGCAGCAGCAGCAGCAGCAGAACAGCAGCAGCAGCGTATTTTCGAGCTTTTGCGTAACCGTATCTCTAGCTTGTAGCCCATTTGAAATCGGAACGCGCGGCCGCGCACCCCAAACCCCAAACCCTAAACCCTAAACCCTAAACCCTAGAATGCACGGACACCCCAGCTGCATGCAGCCGCTTTGGGGCTTTGCTGCTGCTGCTGCTCCGGGCAGCAGCAGCAGCAGCAGCAGCAGCAGCAGCACTAAAGAGAAAAAGAAAGTTAATTGAACTTAACTCCAATTAGCGTTTCTTTCTGACTCAGGGATCTTCTGGTGTACGTACACCTCACAGCAGCAGCAGCAGCAGCAGGGGCCCTTTCTTTCTCTTTTCCGGCCGCAGCCAGCCTAAACCCTAAACCCTAAACCCTAAACCCTAAACCCTAAACCCTCAACTCTGAGAGGTCTCCGCGCTGCTGCGCAGCGGCGCCGGGGTGGGCCTGTGCCCCAGCGCTGAGCCCCAAACCCTAAACCCTAAACCCTAAACCCTAAACCCTCGAAGATGAAGAGGAGCCGCAGGCGTACAGACACCCCGTTCGGGGAGGGACAGTCTCCTTTCGATGCCGAGTCTCTTTACAGAGACGCCAGCGACAAAAAGGTATAAACCCTAAACCCTAAACCCTAAACCCTAAACCCTAGTTTCAAGGTCTCGAGATTTCCGCGAAACCCTAATTTAGGGTTTGGGGTCTGTGTGCGGCTGCTGCCTCTGGGGCCCTCTCACCGCAATTTTGTCCCTTCTTTTCCTTTTTTTCCCTTTTTCTTTTTGTTTCTTTTAACACTCTTTATTTTATTTATTTTATTTTATTTTATTTATTTTATTTTATTTATTTTATTTATTTTATTTATTTTATTTATTTTATTTTATTTATTTAATTATTTATTTTAATTTCCTGAAAGTTCTTTTAAATCCCTTCAAACCCTTTCCCCTTAAACCCTTTCAACGCTCCTAAACCCTCCGACCAATTTAATAAATTTAAACACCAATCAAACCAATTTAATTAATTTAACTAATTTAATTAAATTAAATTAAATTAATTAAATTAATTTAATTAAATTAAATTAAATTAAATTAATTAATTTAATTAATTAATTAATTAATTATTTGCAGGCCCTGGAGAGTTTAAATGAGTTTCAAAGAGAAGCCGAGTTGGCCCGCCGCTACGAAGAGTTTGCGCGGCAGCGGCAAAGAGAAGAACTTTTGAAGAATGAAAGGGACAGAAGAGACGGTAAACAACTGTCTCCTTTTCCCTTTTTGCGCCACTTCGAAACCCTTTTTCGGGGTTTTCTAAACCCCTTTTCAGGGTTTTCCAAGCCCTTTTAACGTCCCTTTAAATGAACCCTTTGGGGGCTTTTTAAACCCCTTTTCAGAGCAAACCCTTTCCGAGCACTTTTAAACCCTTTTTAAGGGTTTTTTAAACCCTCTTTTAAACCCCTTTTGGGGGTGCTTTTATCCCCCTTTTAGTGCCGTTTTAAACCCTTTTTAGAGCACTTTTAAACACTTCTTAAGGCTGCTTTTTAAAGCCCTTTTGTCTCCTTTTTAGGGTTTTTTGTTCCCTTCTAAACCCTTTTTGGGGCCCCTTTTGTCCCCTTTTTGGGTCCTTTTTTTGTACCCTTTTGTCCCCTTTTTGTCCCCTTTTTGGGGCCCCTTTTGTCTCTTTCTGGGGCCTCCTTTCAGGTTTTTCTTCTGTCTCCTTTTGTCTCCTTTTATCTTTTTTAATCTTTTTCTTTTCCTTTTTTGTTTCATTTTTTGTCTCCTTATTTGTCTCCTTTTGTCCCCTTATTTGTCTCCTTTTGTCCCCTTCTGTCTCCTTTTTTCTTTCCGTCTCCCCCACAGCATCTCGTGGATTTAGGGTTTAGGGTTTAGGGTTCAAGTTCTAGGGTTTAGGGTTTAGGGTTTAGGGTTTAGGGTTTGGGTGTTTCAGGCCGGCTGGAGGCTCTCTCTGACATCCGGGCGCGGCGGGCGCGGATGAAGCAGCTGCAGAGCAAGGCCTCGGACACCAGCTGTAAACCCTAAACCCTAAACCCTAAACCCTAAACCCTAAACCCTAAACCGTGAAGGCGAGCTGTTGTTGCAGACGCGTCGCGAGTGCAGGCCTCTCTTTGAGGGTTTAGGGTCTGCCATGAGCAGTGGGCCTTCAAGGTGCAGGAAGAGCTAGGGTTTAGGGTTTAGGGTTTAGGGTTTAGGGTTTAGGGTTTAGGGTTTAGGGTTTGTGCAGCGAACGCGTCGAGCGAAGAGGGGGAAATTGTGTGCCGGGAGAACAGCGAAATGGAACTGAGTGCTGACGAGGGGGGGTCCCCTGCTGCTGAGCCAGCAGCAGCAGCAGCAGCAGCAGCAGCAGCAGCAGCAGCAGCAGCAGCAGCAGCAAAGCCCGCGGGCAGCCAGGCGGAGAGCCGGGCGGTCTCCAAGAAAAGGCCCACCGTAAGCCGCGACAGTCTTAGCGCCCCGAGCCAAGGGTTTAGGGTTTGGGGTCTAGGGTTTAGGGTTTAGGGTTTAGGGTTTAGCGCTTAGGGCTCAGGGTTTAGGGTTAGGAACTAGCGCGCCAGCCGCGCCCCAAACCGCAAACCCCAAACCCTAAACCCTAAACCCTAAACCCTCGCCCGCAGGCCCGCGCGGAGGAGGGCGAGGGGACTTTATTTGCTGAAGAGCGTTTGGACTTCGAGGACTTTTCTCGATCTTCTTCTCGCCGTCTCTTTTCCAAACTGTCTCTGTCTCTTCTCAACCGCGCCAAACTGTCTCTTTCGCGTCTCCTTTTGATTCTCGAGCACCCCATGAAACAGAATTACCTTTTGGGTTCCATAGTCAAAGTGGCGCCTCCGGGGGGGGCCCCCCGGGCGCGCCGCCCGCGGGCTTTCCGGGGGGCCCCCGCGGGGGCCCTGGGGCCGGGGGGCCCCTCGGCGTGCCCGCAGGCTTGGGGGGGCCCCTCGCGGGGGCCCCCGGCCCGGGGGGCCCCCCGGGGGGCCCCGGGGGGGCCCCCCCGCCCCGCGGGGAAGCTGTGGTTTGCCAAGTTGTGGGGCTGAAGAAGTGTGGGGTGTACAGTGTACGTGTGGGGGGGACAGTGCGGGGGTGTACGTACACCCTGGTGCTGCGAGCGACGCCGCGAGCGAGCGCCAAGTATGACCGTGAGTTCCCTCGAGGGTTTAGGGTTTAGGGTTTAGGGTTTAGGGTTTGGGGTTTGGGGTTTAGGGTTTGGGGTTTGGGCTGTGCGGGCTTGGATTTGGTTGTCTGGGGCGTAATATGAGGGCTGCGGACTTGGTGCTTTCTGCTTCGTGTTTCGCGATTCGCGTCGCGGGTTTGGGGCCTAGGGTTTAGGGTTTAGGGTTTAGGGTTTAGGGTTTAGGGTTTAGGGTTTGCGGGCAGGGGAGTTTCGAGTCAGCGAGCTGCTGGAGGGCCCCGTGACGGAAAAGGAATTAAACAGTTGGGTCAAAAAGCTGCAGCAGTTCGACACTGTCGAAGACGTCGCCAAACAACTCCGCCAAAAGGCCCAGCAGCTCGAGAAGGTACTTACCTGCAGCTAGCTAGCTAGCTAGCTAGCTAGCTAGCTAGCTAGCTAGCTAGCTAGCTGGCTAGCTGGGTAGCTTGCTGGGTAGCTAGCCGGGCAGCTAGCTGGGTAGGTAGCTTCGTAGGTATCTTGCTGGCTGACTAGCGACGTAGCAACCTAGACACACGGCTAGCTAGCTAGCTAGCTAGCTAGCTAGCTAGCTAGCTAGCTAGCTAGCTAGCTAGCTAGCTAGCTAGCCAGCTAGCCAGCTAGCTAGTCAGCTAGCTAGCCAGCTAGCTAGCTAGCCAGCTTGCCTTGCAGGTAGCGCCCGAGCTAGCGACGCAGCCAGCCAGCCAAGGAGCTAGCCAGCAGCTAGCCCGCCCGCCAGCCAGCTAGCTAGCTAGCTAGCTAGCTAGCTAGCTAGCTAGCCAGCTAGCTAGCTAGCTAGCTGCGTGTGTGGGCAGTTCACGTTTACGGACGAAGACGTGGAGGAGATTCTGGAGGCGCGTCAGCAGCGGGGCGAGGTGTCTGTACACCGGAGAGGCGCGCTGCTGAAGGAAGTGGCGGCGCTGAAGCATCAAATAAATTCCATTTTGGAAAGTTTGGGATCTTTTCGAACTTGCAGCAGCAGGAGACAGGAGTTGAAGGAGACTCTGAGTTTGCTGCTGCAGCAAAAGGAGACAGCGGAGGCTGCGCTGCTGCGCGAGCGCGTCAGCAGGCCCGCTGTCTCCTTCCCCGCTGCTGCAGCGCGGGAAGCAGACAGGGCCAGGGCCAACAGACTTGCTGCTGCAGCACACAAACCTGCTGCTGCTGCTGCTGCTGCTGCTGCTGCTCCCCTCCACCGACCGCCGGACCTCCCGGGTCCGCTGCTGCGAAGCGAAGCCGCTGCTGCTGCTGCTGCTGCTGCTGCTGCTGCTGCTGCTGCCCGAGAGGCAGCAGCAGCACCAAGCCTGCGCCCCTCACTGTAGCCACTGCAGCAACAGCAGCAGCAGCAGCAGCAGCAGCAGCAGCAGGTCTTTTGTGTGTTTTGTGCTTCAGCTGCTGCTGCTGGCGGCTCTGCTGCTGCCTTTTTAGCTGCTGCTCTTGGCTCGACGCAGCAGCAGCAGCAGGCCCTCGTGACTCCTTACCTCGAGGTGCCCCACACCGTCTCCTTTTGTCTCCTTTTGTCTCCTTTTATTTATTTTGTCTCTTTTTGTTTATTTTTGTCTCTTTTTGTTTATTTTTGTCTCTTTTTGTTTGTTTTTATTTCTCTTTTGTTTATTTTGTGTCTCCTTTTGTTTGCTTTTGTCTCTTTTTGTTTATTTTGTGTCTCCTTTTGCCCCTTTTACTTCTCGGCCCCTTTCTTGTTTTTGTCTCCCTTTGTCTCTTTTAAAAATAAGTCCTTTCAGTTGTGGCCCTGCGGCTCTGTCCCCCTCCGCCCTGGGAGTGTGGGGTGTGGGGTGTACGTACACCTGCGGGGTGTACGTACACCTGCGGGGTGTACGTACACCTGCGGGGTGTACGTACAGCTGTGGGGTGTGGGGTGTACGTACAGCTGCGGGGGCGGGGCGCGGAGCTGGCTGCGCGCATGCAAGTGTCTCCTTTTGCTGCTGTCTCCGCGCCCTTGTTGATTCCGGACACAAGTCCCGTGCAGCTGCCTGCGGATTGTCTCTGCATATCTCTCGAGGAGTACAAGAGACAAGTGGCCCAGCTAGCCAGCATGCAGCTAGCTGGCTAGCCAGCAGCTAGTCGCTGGCTAGCCAAACAGCTAGCTGGCTAGCCAGCAGCTAGTCGCTGGCCAGCCAGACAGCTAGCTGGCCAGCCCAGCAGCGAGCTAGCTGCCCAATAGCTAGCTAGCCAGCTAGCCAACTTGCTAGCTAGCTAGCTAGCTAGCTAGCTAGTTAGCTGGCTGACTGGATAGCTAGCTAGTCGACTAGCTAGCTAGCTAGCTGGCCAGCTAGCTAGCTAGCTAGCTCGCTGGCTAGTGGCGCAGAAAGGAGACAGAAAAGAAACAAAAGGGGACAGTTCCCGAGCCAAGTGTCTCCTTGCTAGTCTCGGCTAGCTGTTTATTTATTTTCTTTTTTTGTAAAGAGACACTTTCCTTTTTAATCTTTTTTCTTTTGGTCTTTGCATCTTCGCGTCTTTATTTCTTCAGATTTGTATCTTTTACTTCTTTTAATTCACTTTAGTTTTTAAAATCTTTTTTGTTTAGAGTGTTGCAAATTACTTTTTGTGCAAAAGTGAATAATAATTTAACTTAATTTTATATTTTTCTTTTAAATGGTTTAAAATGGACTTTTTGCATTTTATATTTGCATTAAACGCGCTTTTGTGAATTCCGCGAAAAGTCGGAAAAAACAAATACGTAGTTGGGGTGTATGTACAGGTGCGGGCCTTTCTGCGCCTTTCAGGTGTATGTACACCGAGCTCTTTCAGTTTTGTTTATTATAAAAAGATTAAAAGTTTGTTTAATGCGCATTTTAAAATATAAACTTTTAAATATATAAATTATATATATCTAGATTTACTTATATGTCCAAAGACTTTTTTTATGTAGGACATGCATGCATATGTGTTTAAACTTATCAAACATATGCATATATATATATAAATATATTAGTATAAATCCTAGTAAATGAGTTTTATCATTAGTTTATTATTTATATATATATATAAACTTATATAACATATATATATAGAATAAATCTTATTTAGTGGAGTTTACCATTTGTCACTTGTTTTAAAGAGAATAATAAACAAATAATTATTCTTTATTTCCCATTCTTTTGCGTAGAGCGCATGCACGCGGTGTCTGTACACCAGGCAGCTGGCGCCGCCGCTTTTCAAGAGAAGTATTTGAAGTTGTGCATGCGTTTTTGCATGCATTAGTAATCCCCAAAAGGCCCACAAGTGGGGAATTATATTTGAGAAAAGTTTCTGGCTAGCTGGAGCTAGCCAAGCATGGCTGTAGCTAGCTAGAGATGACTTTAGCTAGCTGCAGCTAGCTAGAAGCAGCTATGGCTAGCTGCAGCTAGCTACGGGTGGCTGTGGCCGGCTGCAGCTAGCTAGAGATAGCTGTGGCTAGCTGCAGCTAGCTAAGAGTGGCCGTGGCTAGCTGCAGGTAGCTGGAGATGGCTCTGGCTACGTGCAGCTAGCTGCATCTAGCTAAGAGTGGCTGTGGCTAGCTGCGGCTAGCTAGGGATGACAGTGGCTAGCTGCAGACCTGGGTGTCTGTGGCTCTGTCCCCATTTCTTTCGTATCTTCTGTCTCTGCTGCTGCTGCTGCTGCTGCTGCTGCTGCTGCTGCTGCTGCTGCTGCTGCTGCTGCTGCTGCTGCTCATTCTCTGTCTCTTTTGTCTCCTTTGCCCGTCTGCCTCCGGCGAAGCTGAGCACTAGACACCAAACCCTAAACCCTAAACCCTAAACCCTAAGCCCTGAAGCGTAGAGAAGGCGCAGAGGGCCGGGCGAGCGGCCACTTGCGAATAAAAGAAGAAACAAGGAAATAAATAATTAAATAAACAAAAAATAAATAAATAAAATGCATTTTAAATGGCCAAGTCGAGGGCAAAGGAGGCAGACGCGCAGCAGGCCGAGGTGTCTGTCCACCTCGAGCCCGTGAGCGAGCGGGCGAAGAGCGGCGCCGTTTTTGCGCATTTTGGCGGCAAAAAAGCCGAAATAAACAAAAAAAAGAAATAAATAATTAAATAATTTAATTATTTTGACATTTTAAACCCCTAAAGTCCCCAAAAGACCCTTTTTTAGCCCCAGGGGGCCAGAGGTCACCGAGTGTCCGCCGGCTGACCAGCGGGCTGGCGAGCTGTCTGTACACCCCAAGACGCGAGGGAAACCGGACTCTTTTCGCTCCGTCTTTAATTATTTAAAATAAAAAAACAAATTTAATTTACAAAAGC